TGTAATTATACATAGCAAAGAAAGAAAACTGCTCCTTGCCTATGGAAATATATATAGTTTTTAAAGTTCCAACCCCTCTAAGCTGCTAACCATCACACAACATATGCCATTTGGCAATTTGTCTCCTAGGATATTCACAGATTTCTTTCCAGTGCTCTCCACCTGTTCCTTCTGCTGAAGATCCCAAGGTTAACCGGCCAATGACCTCATTCCTTGATCCCCTGTCTGAATCTAAAACCAAAAATTCAATGCTGATATCATCAAGGCCCTCACAAGGAATGTCAAAGACAAACAATTCATTGAACACTGCATTGGGGGTGCATTTCTTCACATGGGTTTTCTTTTTAGAAATTCTCTTCTTAGCATGGTACAGGTTCACTTTGACATAAGGGTCTGCAATGAAAAGAAAAAGCACAGAGCAGTTATTGAACTGTGTCATTCAGAAATTCCTTGATTTACTAATTGTAAAATTTACAACTTACCAACATAATTACATTACAATCAGGAGATGTTTCAAGATATTAAAAATTATTAATCTCATCCAATTTTTGTTTTTACATTTGAATTAGTCCCTTTAAGCCCTCTTTATGCTCCCCAAAGAAGTAATTAAGATAGTCAGTATAGTTTAGGGTATGAGATAAATCCTGTCCTGTAGTCCAGTAGCCATAATAATATCTTTACTACATTCAAATATGGTCTGAAAGTACACAAGATTCTAATGAACACTGAAAAATATGTATCATCATATAATTATGTCTAATGGAAATTTACTTTTCGTGTGTTCTACCAGTAAGGGATAACCATTAGAGTTAATAAGACTCATGCAAAGAAAAACCTCCTAAAAGAGAGAATGGGTGAATGGATGCAATTTATTTATGTTGTAGTTCTACCAAAGTTAATTTGCTAAATTTCATTGCTCTCACCAAATTTTACTGAACAAATTTAACACTAAACTTTGAATGTAAGGTTACATTTGTTGTTAGGATATGTACTTGACTTTATATCTGTGCTGTACTACTCTTGAAGAAGGGGAGGTAAAATGACCATATTTTTAGCTGTAAACCAGCGTTGAATATTTGTATTCCTCATATTCACACAAGTGTTTCAAGATTCCTTTGCTATTCCTTTGCTTCAACAATGGCTATATTTCTTCCTTCAAAGGAATTCTAGATAATGCTTTAAAAAGCATTCAAGTACCTTTGCATTTATTAGAGTACAAGTGTGGGCCTGGTTCCAAACTCTTGTGGTGTAAAGATGCAGTACAAAATCCTTTCTACTGAACCAAGTCAAACAAGATAGTCTATATAAGCAATCAGCAAATAAACATTGTGAATAGTTTAATGCTTTTTAAAAATGTAACATTAAAAGTTAATTGTATTTAGAAATGCTATACTAAAGCTACCAGACCAAAATGATCAGATGATCAAAGGTATTTGTTTCCTTGAACTGACAATTGTTTAACAGGAGTAAGGTATGATAAGATACATCTTCACTTTCATACTCTGTCACCATAATAAACATTTTAAAAACCGAGTTTAATGGAATTGAAATTTGTTGGCTTTAGAATGAATATATGCCACAGAAACATAAAAATACCAGAATCAATACCCATCAGTGGATTCACGCTGTTCATTTCTGTTTAAAGGGCATTTCCTGACTATTACTTCTGGCCATATACTAGGTAAAGTTAGAAGGTTTCTTTCAATTTTATTAGGTTTACAGGGAGACCTCAGCACCAATGATGAAGGAAACCAAGGAGGTCATGGGAATGGAACAGCTTCTGAGTAAAAAGGTTCTCATCTTCCTAAGGAGTTCTAGTTATGTAATTGTTTAGCTGATCCCATTGAAACACCATTTCAACCTCCTCCTTGTCCAAGATTTATCTTGGGTTGAAGGGAAAGTCACGGAAGAAATAATGACTGACTTGAGTATAGTATGTTACTAACACTCAACTATTGAACCTGACCTTGCTGATGAACAGCAAATAATGAAGAACTGTCTAAATGAACTAAGTGTCCAGGTGTAGCATGGCTGCCTGTATCTCTTAGAAATATTATATTCCTATTATAGTTAGCAAGGTTGTACAGAGAGAAGTAGAAAGAGCAAACAATTTATAGCTTTACTTATGACAGGTGCACTAAACAAGTATGTGTTTTGTTTGTGCTATAGTGTCAAGGTGACTGCTGAGATTAGGAGGTCTTTTGTTTTCAAGTTATTGTCCCACCTGGGGGAACCTCAGTCAGACTTGTCTGTTGATATCAACTTGCTGTCATGCTGTCTTCATGAAACCTCTGCTATGTGCTGTGCCTTTGAGGTTGATTGTTAAAAGTGTGTATGCTCTCTTACAGTGGAGTCAATTGTTGGGCTCCATTTATATCCTTTCTCCTTATGATATGTGAATAAAATTGAGATCAGAAAGAGGATTTGAATGGAACTTCACCATGTAAATGGGATTTATCTATGACTATTGTATTGGATCCAGGATATGTAAATTTTCCAGGTAAATTTCAATATTTCTTGATATGAGAAGTAGAAAGGCTGTATTATTGACTGTAGTAATTATGATTCAGTGGTTTCCAAAACTACTTTTTCCCTGCTTCTTTCAAAAAAAAATCCAGTGAAATTAAAAAATATCTAGTCCTATACAGAATCAACAGCAGATGTGCTACTGTTTATATAGTTCTTTGTTGTGTACTGTTATTTTGTGTGGTTGTCTTATCCTTAGTATATTGTATATTGAATGTTATTCTATTATTATGTTATCTAGCATTAATGTGCACCTAAGTATTGGCTTCAGAGAAGGTTTCACTCAATGTCAAATGGCACAAGGTTAGGAGAAGGGAGTGCAAAAACTGCCTTTTCCTAGTGCCACCCAGGTACAGCTCATTATAAAGCATGAGTGTTATGTTACAGCCTCCTTCTAGCACTGACATAGTTCACCTTTTCACCTTGTCAAATAAATGTTAGTGTTCAGTGAGACGAATTCAGCACAGGTGTAAATAGTCCCTTTTCTTGATGCTAAACTGAAATAAACCATATGATGATCTCACTCAATACTGATCTTCTACAAATAAACTGGGGAGGGGGGGTTGTCATAAATAAAAGCTTTTAGTATCTGCAAACAACACCCCATATTTATGGCATATGAGTTCTCACAACAGATGAGACAATCACAAAACTCATTGGTTTCCACTGCTAACAGTTGTCATGTTTTGTTGGTATTTTTGTTTTGTGTTTTATTTTTGTTTTGTTTTTGGTTTTTTTTGTTGGTTTTTTGTGTTTTATTTTTTTTGTTAATTATGTGATTGAAGAATAAATTTGTAAAATAAATACCCTGGAAAATAAAGAATTGACCTAGATAGGAATAAAATGAATAGACTGCAATTTAATAGAGACACCATTTCTGCATTTACTGTCTATTTTTAATCTTAGAAATGTCAGAGTTCAGCTGTCTGCTCTCTGTTTGTTTTGTATTCTTAGGGCATATTCATTAGTAAAACCATTACCTGATAATCCTGACACATCAGATTGAGGTAGATGCCTGGCTTTTAAAACAACCACAGTGAGCGTGTTTGTTGTAGACTGATAGCAGAGAGAGATCAGTAATTCTCCACGTCCAGATGATTTCTGAAAAAATTAAAGAAAAAAGGAAATAAAACTATTTCTAAGCAACTATATTGAGCAAGTTTTAAACTAGAATTAAAGAAATTTATGAGATGTCACATAACGGTGTGTTCTGAAATGGTTTATAAGGATGCAGTTCATACAGCTATGCTTTACACAGAAAATATAACTTTCATCTACTGTAGTTATGTAACTCTTCTTACGGTTGGTTATTAGACTGAAAAAAGTAAATAAGTTAAAATATAGGTTGACGTGACTTAATTAGCTTCAGAGATTAGAAATTAGATGCTATATCCTGAAAAAAATTCTCAGAGAAAGAAAAAGATCTTAAGCAAAAGCAAAATTCCATAACAATATATATATTTAAAAATGAATAAAGGTAAATAAAAATAATCTTTAGTAAAATGTTTTTAAGCAGGAAGGGTTGAAACAGTGAAATCTTATCTCTGACACTTTCTAAAGGAGTATAATACACATGAAATAAAAAAAAAAGATCAAAGACTTTCTCTGTTACTATTAGATTTGAATTTTCAAGAGTAATTTGTTTCAAAGAAAAGGGCAAGGCAAGTGAAACAAGCTAAAATTTTACATTATATACCAGAAAACCCAATAAGTTATCAAAAAAGTATCAGTGACATAGTTACAGTTGTTGTAATATAGCGATAGAATAGCAAAATAAGAGTATTAGTTATAGCCATATTGTCTGATAGACATTTATTTGATTTGGCAGCATGCTTGCTCTTTGAAAACAATCAAACTGAAAGTCAATACATATTCCACTTCCTTAGTAGATATTAAGAGACCTGTGTGTGATGCATGCACATTTCTGTGGTTCGCTGTGATAGTTGTAAATGATCTTTACATTCTGAAATGAGACCAAATGGTATGACTTATTTCCAGCCTAGTGAAGTCAGTATGTTTTGCCACTGACTTCAGTAAGGCTTTGGCTTCTCCCTTATGTCTTACTATCCTTAGTAGAGCTGCAGCTTGCATCACAGTTCTTGAGAAAGAAGGTAGTAACAGCACTGAAGTGCAAGAATGTACTACTGCATCAGCAATATAGTGTCTAGCAGGTTCCAATTCCTTAACTAAAACCTATCTGCATTCTTTAAGAATCAGATAAAAAACCCATGCAGTTGAAGTGAAATTTTTATGTTGACTTCTATTAGCTTTAAGAAAGAATGTTTCTGAACAGAAACGGGAAGGGAGGAGAAGGAGAATAATGTATAAATAATAAATAAAACATAGCATTCTTTCCATTTAAAGCAAATTAATATTGATTAAGGCCAGTTGACCTAATGTAAATGGGTCCACTCAAACCTGCTGAGGCAGCTGAATAAGCAAGTTGAGTTTAGGACTTTAGCAATTTCTTGTAACATGTTCATTGTAATGTACCTTTATTACACTTGTGCAATTGCTTCCTCATACAGTCATTATGAAAGCATCTCAATGACTTGCATGATGAACTTGTTCCCTTTTCTTTCCAAGATCCTAGCAGCATTACACTACAGTCATAGCTAACATTAGCACAATACTTTTAAATTTTAGATAGAAAATATGTTACCCTAACATTTCTTTTGATGATCTCTCTGTCCATTAGCAGCCTTCCTTCTGACAGTTCAGTTCCTGCGAGGGGAATGAGGACTTCTCCAATGACATCATCTCTGGAAAACCTGTCAAAGCTCAGGATTGTAAAGTGAAGTGTTAAGTCTTGAATTTGGCTATAGGGGATTCCATAAAATGTGAAGGTCTCATCGAAAGCTGGATCTAAGGTTTTTCTCAACACTCTGGTTTTCACCTTGTGCTTTTTCTCAGGCAGGATTGTCATTTTGATGTAGGGATCAGAAGTCATTGACTGTTCATCCATTGCTGGCAGCCCACGTGCTTCTTTGATGTTCACTACAAATGCTTTTTTCTCAAAGTTGTACTCTAAGGAGAAGAAAAGAGTTCCTAGCTTCTCTTGTTTATCTTCAGATGAAAGGGAAGTGATGGATTTTAAACTTTCAGGGGATACTGAATCTTTCTTCCTTTCTGCAAAGTGTTTAGGAGATGAATTTTCATGGTCTGGAGAGCTCTGGATTTTGGGCGTTGTTTTGGGAAAGTTGCCATTTAGATCTCTCTTCTCTAGGTCAAGATGGAGAGAATTCTTTGGCATTGCTGATTTGTTCTTTGCTTCACTTTTATCATCTGCTCCAAATTTCTTCTTACTGTTGAGATTCTCAGGGTAAATATCAACCCCCTTCAGAACATGGACAAACTTATATGGAGGGGTCTTGTTGGATTTGGAAGATTTACGTTGACAGCAGATCCAAGCAAAAAGGGAGACAGAGAAGACAAGACCAAATGCGCTAAAGATCCCAACCACTGTAGGAATTTCATCTGCAAATCAAAAAAATTGCAACAAGTGTATAAGTAGCAATGACTTGGACTATATGTGATATTTAATAAAGTAACAATTTAGTGAAACAAACTGAGAGGACATGGTAATAGCGGCAGGATCGACAGACTGAAAGCGTGCATTGTACATATTGCTCGCCACCTGCAGGCATGAATGTGTAGTCCCATACTAAGGGATATTTGTTATGTTAATATTTTTCCATACGCAGTGTTTGGGGGGGAAATACTATTCCTATCCTAATAGTAATAATCACTAGTAATTGCTCAACTATCTTATCTCTCCATGTGTAGTTTCTGAGTTTATATGTCTGTGAGCAATATCAGCTCTCAGAAGGTTTCAGAATTTGTGAAGCTTTGTTGGGTAGATAAAACAGACTTGAAAAATGCATTACTTGTAGATACATTGTCTGCTTTTCACACTGCTTCCTAGAATACTTTGTACACTCAATTAACTCTTTTTAAAATTTATTTATTTATTTTCCAATCCCATAACTGCCTGGAGATCTCTATTGAAAGAACTGAGTTTAATTGGAGGTTACAACATTCAACAGTTTCAATGGTATTTTCAACACTTTACAGGAGGAAGTCCAAGAAAATTTATATACTAAATTTATATACTAAATGTCTTTTCCAGATGGGTGTTATACTGGGCAATCACATGTGATCCCAAAGCCGAAAAAACTAAGTGTATCATTGATAACCACTAAACTTTGGTTTAAAGACACTATGAATCAAACCTATAGGGAGTTTACTAGAAGGATCACTACATTTTAGGACCATATAGGAAAAACAATAAAACATAATTCTTTTCTGACTTATTATGAGCCCTACACTTAAAACTGAATAAAGAGAAAACTCAGCAAGTGTTACAATCTCAATTGTCATGTGGATACATTAGTTACATATAGGGTATCATTAGCCTTTCAAAGCATACATTGAAGGGGCAAATGAGCACAACTAATTGGAAATCCAATTTTGACCATAAGTAACATTACCAAGTGAGTTTAATCTAACAAACAGAGCTTAATCTTTATTCCCTGAAACAGTGCAAGACTAGTAGACTATAAATGGCATGACATTGTTTATGCATAAAGGCAATTGTGTAACAGTTCTGGTTCTCTTCGAATGATTAGCAGATCATTCTGGATGAGAAAATAAAAACTATCCCCTCTATGTATTACTAAACCATCTTAATCCAGGTAGAAAGCTCGGCAAATAGATGTGCTGCCACTATACCTTTGTTTTTAAGTGTGATGATACAAAAAAAAAAAAAAACCCACAACAATACTATCAGAGCAAAGTAGGGCATAATGTTCCAGCACATAGTAGATCGGGCCTGGATATTAATTTCTTCTGACAATATTCATGTCACTTTCCTTTTACCTACAAGATGTATCCATCTACATACTTAATTGTAAGAAATTAATGAAATTACTGAAAATTATAAACATAATCAAAAAGTATTTTTTCTAAGTTAAGCACGTGGCTCTGTTTCTCAAAAATTCCCTGGGCTGAAGAAATTTAAATATACATGGTATAAAGGTAGAAAACAAGGAGTAAATGAAATTGAATGAGAAATGAAAAAAAAATCAGAATACTTTAATAGCTTTTAAGAATAATTTGCAGTTTTGCAGTATTTTTTCATGAGATTACATACTTTTTATAGTAATGGAAATTATGCTATATTTTAATTCTACAGCTACTGAAAGCAGTGGTAGAATCAGTTTGGTGTTTAAAATGTTAATTTTCTTCCTTAAATGTGTAATTAGACAAGTATGATGTCACAACTCTAGTTAGAAACATCAAGTGGGTGGGGTAAGAAAGAAGATAAAATGGTAAATAAATTGGTTTTATATATACAACTAATTATGTTATAACCTGAATTTCTTGCTGTTTCCATAACATAAATAAATTGGTTAACGTCCAAGGAACTGCATTAACAGGAAACATTAACTATTGATTTTGGGAGAAGTTATTATTTTAGTTACGTGATGGCTTCATTTATGTCAATGGAATAATCCTTGAATTAAACCACTGCTAAAGCAAATATAATCTAGGCTAGAGCCAATATTTGTAAAGCAGGGTTCAGAGACATTTCTAGTTACTTCTTTTCTAAGTTATTTTTGTATCTATTTTCTAAGTGAACATACATGACTCTTTCTGAAACTTCAAATATAACTGCTAATCACCCTACATCCAGTGCATAGAAATGACACAACTAAAAACTTCATTGTTATTATTGCTATTCTCAGTGAACTCTGATCAAGATGGAGCTGTATAGCTAAAAACACTGGGATCCCGCATTTTCATCTTCCTAGCAATGCCCTTAACAAGACTACTTTTCACTTTGACTTATGGCTGACAAATATTTTTCTACAAGAAAAAAGGAATAACAATTATACTAAGAATGGCTTGAACAAACATTTTCTCTGTTGTACAGGATGCATTTACATCACTGAACTCTGAAGCCACGTTACTCCAAACAAGACAAACAACCCTAGACCTCTCTTATCTGAAAGTACACCTGCATAGACCTCTTGAACTCTCCAGGTGCTTTTCCGAGGGGAGCAGGTAGGGAGAAAGGAAGAGAGAAAGAGAAAGACAAAAAGAGAGAGAGAAGAGCAAGAAAGAAATTTCACACAACTTCTGAGATTGAAGAAAACTGGGGGAAAGAAGGTTCCTCCCAACAGTCTGCGAGCTGGGAGGCGCAAGGTGGCTCAACAGACCCTACTCTGCACGCACTTCGCCTGGGGAGGGGAGCAGCCCTCAGCCTCACGG